CCATGCAGAAGCTTAGAAGCTTAACAAGAGCATAAAATCAGATGTAAGATGGCATCAGTGGACCAACTGAGACCCAGAGAGTTCACAGCAGAGATAGGCAAACTCTGGCATGTCTGCCAGGTAGTGTCCAACCGTGGCTGGCTGTTACTCAGAATTCCTCTGAGTACCTGGCCGAATGGACAGGCAGAGCTCACCTCCCTCTCCTTCCAGACCCCCTGGGTCCTGCTTTGCAACATTGTTAAACTGGTGACAGGAATCTAAATATGTCTGGAACCGAGATTTAAAACAAATATAAGAAATAAGAGGTCATGAATTAAGTTTTTATTTTCTACCTCAAATGGATGGCATGAGGCTAAAATGAAGTCTCTCCTGTGAAGGTGACGACGGCGGTGTCTGGTGTGTAATCTCCCTCTCCTTCTTTTCTCATTTGCATGCTGAAGAAATGCTGTTACGTTGTTTCAGATCATATAAGTGAAATGTTGTTTAGGGAATCTTATGTGACCCTCAACACTGATACAGAAAAGGTAAAAAGCTACAACAATTTTGAGATTAAGTGATAGATCCTTTAGCAGTTAGAAATTTCTTTTTTTTTTTTTTTTAAAAAAAAAAGAAGCGGAAATTTTTTTTATTTTTTTTATTTTTTTTTATTTTTTATTTTTTTTATTTTTTTTTTTAATTTTTTGTTTATTGCAGTAACATTGGTTTATAACATTGTAAAAATTTCAGGTGTACATCATTGTACTTCTATTTCTGCATAGATTACATTCTAACAGAAAGTCATTAGGACTGAAATTTGAGACTGAAGTCCATGTTTTTCCTTCAATGTATAGCAAATGGCAAACATTTGTATTTCCTTTGCTATCAGAGAAGTCAGGTAATATTTTAATAATGTGAAGTTGCTTATGTCAATTGGAATAATACACATGAAATTGAGAAAAACCTTACTCATTCATTTAATGAATAAATTATATGAAATTTAATATGATTATAAAGACCTAAGCCATTTGTTCAAATATGAATCAAACACAATAGTAGACATTAGATTCAGAAAAACGAAACACATAAGTCTTCTCCCCTCCAGCTAACAATCTCAAATAATTTCAAGAATGTAACTTTTTTTCTTTTCTTGGCTTCAAATGATCCTCTGCAATAGGAAGTCGAGAAGAGTAACTTCAGGTAAAGCTGTCTTCTGAAAAGGTGAAGATTTGGGGTCTAGAAACTGTTTCTGTTTCAAACCTCGCAGCTCCGTCCTGCGAGGTTTTTCTAAACTGCAATGCTGCCAAACCTTGCTCGGTGCTCTTCCCCAGCAATCTCCAAATCTGGCAAGGATTTTCCCGGGGACACTGCCAGCTGCCTCCAGAGCGAGGACCTACCGAGAAGCCGGCTCTGGGCTCGCTGCTGCTGAACGAACCGCATTGCTGCCCCGTAGGAGAGAGACAGGAGCGTGACACACCCGCAAACCTCTTTGAACTCCTGTGGCATCCAGGAATCCACCCACAGTAAAAGGCTCATAGCTCTTTCAGGAATTTTTAGATCAGCCCCCAGCAGGAACTAGTCAGGATAACTTTGACGGTGCCAGTTGGATACTTTTAGAAAACAACCTTGATTGCTTACTCTTTTCATCTCACCTTATTTTTGAAGATGTTTCTTGCCATTCTTTTCTTCGTTTCACAACATGACATCAGATTTCCTTAAAGGCCCCCAAATATTCCAAGGCTATTTACATATCCCCATACTTTTTAACTCTCTCTGTGGCTGTCAATTAAGGTGAAATTAAGGTAAAAAACAGAGTATTATAAACAGGAAATTTTGAAGTCTAGATTTTAACTGTGCCATAATTTATGTTAAGTAATTATTCTAGACAGGTTTATTCAAAAATTGTATTTACTGGTCTTACCTAAATTTAAAAAATGATAGTATTGCAAGAACTCAGTTACAACGATTTTAATATCTAAGTATAAATTTTAAATTGTTACCTAAAATAAGTGACTTGTTTTCCACAAATAGTAAGTCGGCTTAAAGAGTTTAAATAATAAATATTTGAATCTTCTAACAATTATTTTTCTTCAATCTTAATCACAAGGCAAGAAAAACACCAAGACTATTATTGTCCAGCATTGTATATGTGACTATTGGCTCACAAGATTTTAATTTTAGGATGGGATAGGCAGATCTAGATTGTGTCTTTTGTTTGTTTGTTATATTTTATGCTTCTCCTTGTCTGGCATTAAGATCTTTGTAGACTTGCTCTTTTAAAAATTCTACTTATCTCCATCAGTATGATTCACAATGATTCACGGAAGATAAAAGTTTCTTCGCTTACCTGATAGAAAAGTCAATTCATTATCAAAATGTTTCCGGATAGCTGCAGATGCGTTTTCCAGGCACTGCCTTGCCTGGAACGCCCTTTTCCGTCATGAGGAAGATGCGGTGTGAAATCTAGTGTAATCACTCTTCCCTGACAGTGTTGGACAAATATTTAAGGCTAATTCATCTAGATTACCTGAAAGTATTTTTAAGATTTAAAAAAATCAAACAGAGCATTTGGAATTAAGTGGAATTTCTCCTGCGAATCTTTATGAATTAGAAGTAACAGAGGCACTAAAAGTGTCAGAGAATCTAACACTTAAATTATGGCATTTATGTGACCATTAAGATGACCTTGAATTTGCTGTTGAACTTTTATGCTTTTCTGTTTTACATTTCTTCTGAAAAGTCTTGACTGATTCACGAAGCTGACATCATTCTCCTGTGTAGAACTGCCTTTAATCCACTGTCATGTTTGTAAGTTTGATAGTTTAAGGTATTGATTTTGTGTGTGTATGTGTGTGTGTTAGGAAAAGGAGTTAGATTTCTTTTGTATCTCCTTCAAGGGATCAGATTGTGGATTTTGAAGAGAAACTTACAGAAGTTGCTTTTCCATATTTCATTGTCAGACAGAAATATCCTTGACAGCTACACTCTGAAGGTCTGAAAATAGAGAGTGGTTGGCGAGGACCAGTTAAATTAATGTTTGGTATTACCAAGTGCCACTGTTCATATTTTATATATGCTAGTATTTAGAAATAGATTTGAAAATAATCTTCATGTGACAAGCTCCTGGAAGGCAACATTTCCAACATATTATTTATCTTCCTTTATAAATTGTGCTTCTTTAACAGTTGCCTTGGGGCACAAACTGAAATTAGCAGCTATTAGTACCTATTTTTCTCGCATTAGTTCTTAGGTTTTTTTCTAAGAATGAATAGACTTTCTTGGTGGTTTCCCCCAATGCAGACTTCTGTGTAGCAGAAACAGTCATCTTCTGGCAAACACCAGACTCATTACCAATTTTCGATTATTAATGTATCGTTTTATGACCTATAGCTATTACTTCTTAATCTGAAAAGGGGGAGCGTGAAAGCCTTCCCCTCTGAAGAATCTACCTTTGTTCACGTCGTCTCCTTCCAGGTAGAAGCTGGATGATTTAGTTCTACATATTCACCCAGTTCTTCAGGAAAAGATGATCAGACTAGACTTCACCGAGCCTGTGATTTTACTGCTGTGTTTGAAGGAGGAAATAAGAAATTACCTTGCTCAGTTATATCAGGCAACTCCTCGTTCTTTTTTTTCCGGGAAATCCCAGATTTAGAAATATTAGAATCAGAGCATGGAAGAGAGGTCAGAGAGCCCTGGGTCCTTCCCCCCTCCCTTGATTCACAGCTGCAGGAGTCGCCTCACCAGGATTAGAAACTGAGGTGGAGAAATAGAGGTGGATGGAGGTCTCGGTATTGAACTGGTTGGCCAGGACTCGTGGTGGCGGCTAAACTCCACGTCACTTTCCAAATCTTGCCATTTTGGAAGGAGGCTGCTAATGACTTGTGGACAAGAGAAGCCAAAAACAACTTAATAGGCTCTGTTTTTTTCTGGCCAACACATACACTGCCCGTATGTCACAACACAGCAGTGACCGGATCTTTTCTATCAGTGCTTCTCAAAGGTGAAGGTTGGTGCATGTTCACCTCTATAGTCGCTACAATGGTGCTTCAGTAAGTAGGGGAAGTGCCACCTCATCGGTGCTTTGTTTTTAACCCAATAAAACAGATTATAATTAATGAGAAGGAGAATATCAATAATGTGAAGTCAGAAAAACAAAATATTAGTAAAATGACCTTGCCATTGACTGAGATAAGAAGCTACTTGTGAGGATGTCTATCAACAGCTCGTTAGGAGCTAATGAGCCGCAGGAAGTGGAAAGGACATGCTGATGCTTCATAGGATCAGAATAACTACGGATTGGTTTCTGTGTTTGCTGTTCATCTATTCATGTTTATTCACTTGTTCAATAAAGGATTTAAGGTTCTTCAAGTTTCCTTGTGATCTGTTTGTTCTTTACTCAGAATCTAGTTGTGAATGGATATTAAGGAAGTTTGGCTTTGCTAAGTGACCTTTTTTTTTCTTCCCAAGACAATCAACCAGAACCAGAGCCTTTTTTAAAATTTTTGTTTCATTGTGTTTTGTTTTTACATCAGGGCACATGGTACTTCAAGGGAAACAAGAAATAGTCTCCTCAATATGATGCCTTACATGAGACATAAAGGGAAAATTCCAAATCAATTCTAGTCGAAAGATCATTGAATAATCTCATTTTTCACAATGTTTAAAGCTGTTATGAAGATTATCCCATACCAAATAGTAAATGCCCTTTGAAAGACACATCTATTGTTTGTAACAGTGGAAATAAATCCGCCCTCTGGCGAGAATTACTGTGTTGAGCCAGGCATAGCCATTTTGATAGCTGAGGAGTTCCCAGCACATCCCTCTATAGATTATGGCAAAGGATGAAATTCTTTGGCATACAGCAGAGTCCAGGTACACCAGTATGTGTATTAAGAAGTAAACAAAATGGGTATTAGATCATAAAAACCATGATAACCGCTTTCTCAGTTGATTGCCAATATAGACACTATCTGGTCGTTACCAAGAGAGAAGAAAATTGATGTTTGTCATTTTTTTCACAGGTTCAGGATGCATTTAGATGCCGATTGAGAAACTGTCAGGACCCAATCAATGCTGATTCTTCAAGTTCTTTTCCCAATGGGCATGCTCAGATCATGGTGAGTCTTTTATTTTCCCTCTGAGTATTGATTAAATCATGATTTCTCAAGAGAATAAACAAATATTCTTGTTAGTAAGATAGTTCAGTTCAAAGTTCTATTTTGAGTGACTTGACTTTAGTTCATTAACAGACTTAGAACTCTGGTACCAGATAACTATGCTATCTGGATTGCTTAGAAGTACAGGATCTGTCAGTGGCCCCCTGGTGTGCTGAGTGTGGGGCTGCTCTGCAACACCAGAGAGTATTCTCATCGTTGCCAAGAATTAGGGATAGCAATTTGTCCATGGGATCACATTTGTTTACCGATCAGAATGCTATGGATCTACACTTCGAGTCTTGAAGCAGTGGTTCTCAGCCTTGGTTGCACATGAGGATCATCAGAGGAGCCGAGGAGCCGCACCCCAGACCAATGAAATCAGCATCATCCTAAGATGAGAACACTGCCTGAAGCATAGGGGCAGCCAGGCTTCCAGTGAAAGTTGTTATTGTACATGAGCTCTGACTGACATTGGGATTAAGGGGTACCTTACACATAACCACTTTGGTATATTTTAGAAATGAGATAAGATCTAAACTATGTCTTTAAAATCAGGGCTTAAATAGAGATTCTTTTTATAACATATTTGATTTATTATTAATGTTTTTGGATTAGGCAACATAAAAATAGTCTAAATGATATAGTGGTAACTAAGACTTGAGAAGGAATAATTAATTCCTTATTTAAAAAAATAGATAAAAACTTGAATATCGTGATATTTAGAATATTGATTAAAATGGGCTAATTTAATTTTACCATTAAAAAAATAACTAATTTGTTTAAAATAAAAGTTTGGGGAAAATATGAGGATAGAACTAAACTCTAGCAGGTTCTAGGCTAGATTAGTATTGTCTAATCTTCCGTTTTAATTCCTAAACCTGAAAGCTTTTAGTCACATTTGAGAGAAAATGGATCATTAGAAGAGCCTAGTTTGACAATGAGAGTTTGACAAAGCCGTATTATAAGATATTACATTACAAACAATATATTCAAAGTGAATGCTTAAAAATATAAATAAAAAAGACATTTACTTAATTATCTTCATAATAACACGCATTCTAATCTTTTATTATAGTTTAAGAAACTGCCTTAAAATTCTGTCCTTTTATATATCATGTTAATCTCCTTACTGAAGATGACGCGGGATATTGTATTGCCTTATCAAAATTGTATGCCATGTTTCCATTAATTTTATTCAACATTTGGTCTCTAGGAAATACTCTTGAGAACAATCTGATTGTTCCTTGAGAAACTTCCTTTGCACGAAACAATAACCTGGTACTGCCTAGTCACATATCTGCAAACTTCAGATCATCTGGTTAGTAAAAGTCACTTGAGATATTCATTAAATGATGATTCTATGCCTTATTATTTCTTGTTACAGACAGACTTTGAAAAGGATGTAGACATTGCTTGTCGATCAGGTAAGAATATTTGGATTTTGAAAATATATAAAAATTAAAACATTTTTATAGATTTTGATTTTAAAGAAAATGCTATGGTTTACACATCACATATTTGTGTGGGTGAATAAATAGACTCTTTCAAATGGAAGCATTGTAATAGCTGAGTGTGGGGGAGTGGGAGGTAAGGAGAGAAAGAGAGTGAATGAGGAATGAGAGGGAAACTAAGAGTGGTTAATTGGGAGCACCCTGGCAGCAGAAGAGCACTGGCTTGGAAACATACGCCTCCCATCCCACGGGTGACTGTTCCACCAATTACTGGTTGTCAAGTGCAAGGCCAGCCAACTTAGCCTCTCCGTGCCTCAGTTTCATTGTTTATGGAATATGAGTTATTGTGAGGATGAAATACCATTGTGTGTGTGTGTGGTGTGTGTGTGTGTATCATAGCTGCTCTTGTTGTTGTTACATTTTCAGAGGGCACCAGGAGAAACAACGCAGCACATCCTGCCTTAGAGTCATAGGAGCCGTGGTTGTGTCCCTGATGGTTGTCCTCCAGCCTGTGGCTGAATCTCACCAAAAGTAGATGACTCGAGAGTTTTAAAGGAAACTACATGTTTCATCTTTTGGATAATTCCAGTTGTTGAAAATGCTCCTTTATGTTGGGACAAAATATATCTTATTTTACCCTTTATTTGTTGGCTTTAGTGCTGCCTTCTAGAATTTCAGTAGATATCTACTTCATCTAAATATCCAAATGTTTGAAAGCAAATATTTAGCCCCGTTCAAGTCTTTCTTCCAGACTAGACAAACCATGGTTCCTCGTTTGTTCCTCATGGTGTTCTCCCAGGAGGCACGGTGTCCCACGTAGCCTCCAATTTGTCAATAATTTTAAATTATGATGCCCAAACGTATACATACTTATCCAGCATTTACCACAGTTGGCTCTTTCCTTATATAAATGCTATGTACGTTTGTGTCTGATCTCATAGCCACTGGTACAATACTAGTGTCAACTTGTTGTCTTCTAAAATCCCTGACTTTCTGTAGTAACTGACAGGATTCTCCCAGTCTGCAATTATGGGAAGGTTCTGAGGTTTTTTCCTTTAAGACAAATCTGGCCTTTGCATTTATATTATTTACTATTATCGTACTAGTTTCAGGTTAGTATTCTATCCATTTGGAATTGTTTGGCCATTGACAGTTTGATAAGAATACCTTCTAAATCTTGACCCAAACTGTCAATAAAGTAGTTAAATGGAATAAGACTGAGTGTGGAAAGCTGCTGAGTGCAGTAAGGCACCCCCCCATCCGATGCAGACTCTCTTTACGTGCAGTTTTCAGATTCAACTCATAACCATGAAACATCTATGCAGAGTCTGAGATCGCAGAGTTGTCGTAATCACAAGAATATGAGAGACTCATCTCATATTCTCATTCCTGAGTTCACTCAGAACTCTCCATGTCGAGTGGTCCTAGCAGAGCATTAGAGTCGCTGTTGTGACTTGACAACCCACAGGGACCTGCGTAAGCAGGCTATTAGGAATCACCCTTTCCCGTTTACTGTCTGACAAATTATTGCTAAGACACATCTCACGAGTGTTTGTTTCCAAAGTCTACCATTTCCTTATTTGGGAAATTGATAAAATATTTTCCCTTGCTCACCCACTTTCCATCATTTCTCAGAGATGGTTGGCCATGGTGCCAGGTTCCACCTCTGTGTTCCAAGGTGGAATGTGATTTTTCTGGGTCCAGAAGCCGGAATTTATTTAAAATAATTAGGTGTTCATTTAATTCCTATTTTTTAATCTTCAGTTGAGTTTCCTTTCAGCCTTGTGTGCTGTATTACAGTTCTCCTTGGTAGAGAAGTGAAACAGAAGCAGACAGTTTGTCTTTTCTTTAACAGCTGTTAACGTGAAACCAGTGGTTGTCAAGTGTGGTCCCCAGACCAGCATGTTAGCATCTCCTGGGACTTTTTAGAGATACCAGCCTTCAGGCCCTGCCCCAGACCTGCTGCAGGGTGGGGTTCAGTAATCAGTGTTTTCACAAGCCATCCAAGTGATTCCGATGCAAGCTGAAGCTGGAGAAGTGTTGTGTAGACCATCCTCCCCAGGCTCCGGCCTCACCCCTTCAGTATTCATCTCCTTCTCTTTTGTTAAATGACCCGTTTTCCCCCAGACTTCACTGCACTCTGGGATTTAATATTCCTAATACAGGCCAGTACCATTATTTTATTAGAAAAAAAAAGTTTTTTAATGTTTTCATTTTCTGGATGTGCCCTTTATAGCTGAGTTCATCAGGAGCTTGCCTCTGACTTTTTCTAGAGATTTCTGTCCCTGTTGAGGTATATTCAATTTTAAAGTCTCAATTCACGGACTCTGAATAATCTTTCTCCAAATTTGGTTGAAATTTGCTTTCCCAAAGGGTGGAGTATATGTCTGATTATGCAAAATATTCAAGGGATTTTTGTTTTGTTTTGTTTTTGCTTACATTTTGCCTTTCACAACTTGATTAATTTCTCTCAAAAGCCCCATCACTTTGACACCATGTTTGGATGTGTACGTGGTGTGGATTTGTTTCTATTGTATATTCAAAACTTGGATATCTACTTTAAGCAAGTCTGAGACAGAGATATCTCTTATATAGAGTAGACATTACTTCATAATAAGAATTATCTTTCCCCAAATATTTAAGATATACAAATTTTCAGTAAAGATAGCTGTATCAATTGATAAAAATGTGCTGACTATAACTACAAATCACATGACATTTATACAAAACCAAATGTATCATACAAATGCAGATTATGAAATCAATATTCAGTACCGAGATTTTCTTTATGGTTTACAATATATTCATAAAAGTATAAAATTATTTATTTTTCCTTAATGTAATATGATAGGCTCCCATAACTAGTCTTTAAATTGTACTGCTATATAAATTTTGGATTAATTTTTGCATAAAGTTAAGGATTAAAAATATTCTTCCTGAATTTGGAGTTTTTTTAAAGTATTTTGTTTATGAATATGACTAAATCTATTAATTTAACATACTTTCTCCCTTAATATTTTCATGTAAATTGTTCGTGGCGACCACAATTCGTTACCTATCTATTATTTTAAGAGGTTTGGAAATAACTTTTTTTTTTTTTGTGAGGAAGATCAGCCCTGAGCTAACATCTGCCAATCCTCCTCTTTTTTTTTGGCTGAGGAAGACTGGCCCTGGGCTAACATCCATGCCCATCTTCCTCTACTTTATATGGGATGCCGCCACAGCATGGCTCAACAAGCAGTGCGTTGGTGCGCACCAAGGATCCAAACCAGCGAACCCCGGGCCGCCGCAGCGGAGCGTGCGCACTTAACCGCTTGCGCCACCGGGCTGGCCCCATGGAAATAACTTTTTTAAACTGATTATTCTACTTTTTAATACAATAGTTAAATATAAAAAGTCACAACCAAATTACGGATTAATAAAAAAATATGTAGTTGTAGATTTAACATGAGTTTTGGTGTCTGAAATAAAGAGACCTAATACAATAATTAAATACAGTATCTCTGAAGATAAAAGGTATTACATATACGATGCCTGTTTTAAAGTAATTTTGAAGGCTTCTCTTCTTGGTAATAGGGAAAGACATTCAGAATCTTCAATTTTTCAACCTCTGTTTTAATGCATAATAATTATGATGCTATTTGAAAACCGGATAATAATGGGTGAATTCAACATATCTGAAACTTTTCATGAGGAGACAATAAACCAAATATTTTACAGTTATCTCTGCCTAATGAAGTTTCCCTTGGCAGCCACTCTGCTTTGTAGAAAGGGCTGCATTTGGGGCCCATGGTGAGCCAACTTGCACACAGTGCTGTTCTGTGCTTTCAATACCAAAATTACCAAGATTGTTTCTTCAGAATTTCATTCTTTCCTACCTCAAATCTGACAGTTGTTCACAACTAAGCATGCTTTGAGTCATTCTGCCTCTATTACCCATAAAATATGGGTAATATTATGTAGAGGGAAAAAAAAAGAAAAAACTAAAGTGTTTCAATAAAGAATTCTAAACTCTTTGGTTGGTTTGCTCGGTTTGGTTTATGTTTATGTTTTCATTTTGTTCCCTCTCTTACTACAAGTTGTCATGCATTTTTAATTTTTCTAAGTCATTATTTTTCAGGCTTAAAATAGAATGGAGTTTTCAGAGGCCCATACAGTTTTTTTCTGCTTAACATCAGCTGGTGATTTTAATACCCCCTCAAGGGCATTCGAGCATATGGATTGATCTTGAAAAAAAATTCCTTTCTTTTCCTACATGGAACTGAAGTTGACAAAGGCTTTTGAACCCTGTATCTGCCTTGACCATATGGACTTCATAGATAAATGCTCATTAATTTTCAACATGCATAAATTTTGGAGAGATTTCCAATGCAATAGGATGAAATTCTCATTGATTACCTCTTTCAAACAGTGTTTTAATGAGAAAACTTCTAAAATACTTTAGGGAAAAGCCTTCAAGAAAATATCAACTTTATGTGAATATATCTGTAATTCTTCAAACTCTTTGCAGTAAATTAATGCAGAAAACTTCTCTGGTAATCTGCCTTTCCCCTGAAAAGTTATGCAGAGTTATTTAAGGATAGGGCACTGAAACTTTTAACTTTCATATATGTTTTAGCTGTGGGCTCCCTGAGATCCATGAGAGCATATCAGTATCAATAAAGAGTGATTGAGTAATCTGGACCATGTACAAACAGATATGTAATTCTTCAAAATATTATTTTTATTACATTAAGGAATTTGACAGAGAGACAACAGAATACAATAATGAAAACATAAAAACATATTAACTTTCTTTTATGAATTTTTATATCCTACTTCACAGTTCTTCATAAAGATATTGGTCCTTGCCGAGCAGCAACGATAACAGGAACACTCTCTAGGATTTCTCTAAATGATGATGAAGAAGAAAAGGGAACAAACCCTGAAGGGCTAAGCTATTCAACATTGCCTGGAAATGTCATTTCCAAAGTCATCATCCAGCAACCCACGGGTCTGCACATGCCCATGAGTATGAACGAGCTGGGCAATCAATGTTTGAAAAAAGAGAATAGTGAATTGCGGAGAACCGTGTACTTATGTACAGACGACAACTTGAGAGGGGCTGATATGGACATAGTCCATCCTCAAGAAAGAATCATGGAAAGTGACTATATTGTGATGCCCAGAAGTTCTGTAAATACCCAGCCGTCAATGAAAGAGGAAAGCAAAATGAATATTGGCATGGAAACCTTGCCACATGAAAGGCTATTGCACTATAAAGTGAATCCTGAATTCAACATGAATCCCCCTGTAATGGACCAGTTCAATATGAACTTAGATCAGCACCTCGCACCCCAGGAACATATGCAGAATTTGCCCTTTGAGCCTCGCACAGCTGTGAAGAATTTCATGGCTTCTGAGTTGGATGATAATGCAGGACTATCAAGAAGCGAAACTGGATCAACGATATCAATGAGTTCGTTAGAGGTAAGCAGTAGAATAAACCTTTCCTTGATATTTGAAATACATATACAGATAGATAGATCGATTGATTCACGTGACACTGGAGCGAGGGAGAAGAGTCATGTTAGCTTTTGCAGTTATGTATCATACAAGAATTTTTGCCAGGTTGGGATTAAGATTCTGGGCATAGGTTTTTTCAGTAGTACATCAGAATCCCCTTTCTCAAGATCATATTTTTAAAGAGGAGCCTCTATATTTAAAAAGATAACTGTCTTTTTAATAATAATAATTCTGTCATAATTCTGTCATAATGGGAACCAAGTAGAGCATTCGTAAAGAACAAAACCGAAGATCCTCTTCATGATTCTTAGGTACCAGAGGTCCTTTTGTTGGTTAAAGTAGTTTCTGGATAGCATTACAAATTTAAACCAAGATCTAGATGTTCTATGTGAGGGCAGCTGTTAAAAATTACAAAATTGGAATGTTTCTATGAAGTCTACCATTATACTGATTATAAACTCTATTAGTACATTAGATCGATATCTTTCAGAGTAAATGTTTTGCTCTTAGCTCTTACAGAATGATGACTGCTAAAGTTTTTGGTCTTAAATTATGAACCCTCAGGAGGGGTGTAAATTGAGCAGGTTAAGAATCAGGACTCTGAGGCCCAACCACATGGCTTTTGTAAAAGAGCAAACTCCTCTCAGCTTCTTTTCTACCATGAAGTGAAGTAGAGGGTAGTCAACAGCTATTAATATCATTCATATTGTACTAAAAGTAACCAAGCAAGATGTAGGGAATATAATATCTTATTTTCTATTGATATACATCATGTTACTGTTTTGTATGTGACTTTACCTTGAAATTTTGCGGTAAACCCACTGCTGATATATTGCATATGTTCAGTATACAAGGCAAAACTTGCATTCTTTTATATGTATTGCCAATTGTTTTAATATAAGATTATTTCATAAGACACTCTTTAGAGAAAGACACTATAATTGGTTGCCTACCCTTTCCATCAGAAGTATGCTGATAATCATATGTTCTAGTGTTCAAAAGTGCCCAGAGGAATTGTCCCTCTCTTCTCCCCACAAAGCCATGCCTTGTGCTAGGTCAAAACAAAGAGAGATCCTGAGAGGATGGAATAACTTGGTAAGTGGTGTAATTTTGAGGTTTTTCCAACTGGATCTAGGAAATTCTAGACCAAAATGGGAATGTTGATGGGATCTATAATAAATTCCTAAATTCTAGATCAATCTTAAATGGAAGAAGGTTTCTGGGGAGAATCATTCCTCAGAACCAAAGGGATAAGGATAGAGGCAGTAAGGCCAAGTTTACCCCAGAGTGGCTGGAGCTCCCTCCAGACTAAAGCATTCCACCATTCTGAATTAGCAGCAGAGCGACTGTTTCTCTACTTCTAACTTGCGTATCCCAGAGACTAGCAGGTCTACCACAGTAATGACCACATAGGCACAAACTACATGATGTTTATGCAAATTGCAAAAGTTTTTAGGACTTTCAGTGAACCTACATATAATAATACAACATCATCAGTAATCATAATTCTGATGCACTACTGGGAAAATCATAATGACCATATGGAGTCTTCTGGATAGAATGGCTCTTTAAAATGTGCTAAAGGAGTTAGAATGGAATGGTGTTAAAATATTTTGCTTGTTGTAAAATACTTTACATCTAAAAGCCTAGAAACATGGAAATCTGGGTGTGATGTTGCATAGGCTATGTGTGCTTGAACAATAGACTGTATTTCCAAGTGCTGCTTTGTTAAGTTTGTAATTTTTCCAAATCTCCATATCCTTATTATTAAGTATAAGCGTCATATATAACTGTGATTCAGCCAAAAGATCTGCATTTAAATGACTTAGAGATCACAAGGCTTACATCTTGAAAAGGAAGAAAATTCAGGATTCAGAATGAAAATTCAGTTCCTCATTTTCATTCTTTAAAAGTTTAATAGTAATTGCTTAGGGTGACCATTTTAGGAGACATCTGAAAGAGAATATATAGATGTGGGAATGAATAATAAAAATTAGCATTTATATAGCATCTTTCATTAGCAGATTCTCAAATCACCTTAAAACATGAGTTAATTAATCTCCACAACACCTCTGTGCAATGGATAAGTTGTTATAATCCTTGAAGTAAAGTCATTTGTTCAAGGTTACAGAGCAAGTGCATAGCAAATCTGGGAATAGAATCTTTCTGTCCTGATAGTTAACTGTCTAAAAGAGACAGTAATGTGCCTGAACATTAGCATGAGAGTAACTTTAAAGTTCTTTTTAACCCTGACAGACACTTGGTCTTATGGTGAATAGAGACATGAAATGGATAAAGTATAGGTATATACAACCAGCAGCTTTTGGAGATAGGACTGTGGCCCGTGAAGATAAAGTCAGTGGCGTGGCCTTCTCTATGAGCAGCGTGATGCATTGTCAGGTGGAGTTGTCACCTCTGGTAGACTGCCCCTGCAAGGTCAACCAAGGGGAAGATGATATTCTGACAGAGAGGATGACTGGAGTACCTACACAGAGTGGGGATCAGCAGTAGCCGGGAGGTGTCCTGAGTCTTAGAAGACAAGATGAAGAGGAAAGTGTGTGAATATGTGGATGACATGAGGCCCGAGCCGTAGGACCATTGGCGTCTTGTCCGGCTCTGGGTGAGAAGGGAGATCACAGCCACAGTGACTGGGCCGCAGAGGAGGGCCAGGTGCCTTAGGATCCTTTCGAGGATGTATTTGAAGACGTTCATGTTAGTTCAGGAAGCTGCCTCCACTCCAGAGGAGGGTGCACACCAAGTGGCGTCTCGGAAGCAGTAGAGGGAGAAAGGGAAGAGGGTAAAAGCTATTAGCTTTTCTGTAGCAGAGAATGCCTTTCTCAGGGGGAAATGTGCGGGGGAGGAAAAACAAGACTTGAGGGAGGAAAAATAAAGCCCAAGAGTGGGTGAGTGGGTGGAAGTATTTATTCAAATAAGCAGGAGGCAACAAAGAGAGAGGGAGGCTCCCAACCCTGAAGGCAGTGCCAGCAGAAAAGTCTCCAACCGCCAGGGGGATTTGTTCAGCTCACCCCCAATTATCGAGCGTAGAGAGTGTAATAAATGCAGGAAGTTTCTTGGCGTTGAAGCATATCCAGATTTTCTCCCTGCCTAACATTACCTTGTTTCTTCCTTTCTGTTATCTCCCATCTTCCAAACTGTATCCATTCCCAGAATGGACTTGTTAAGCAATTCTGAAGATTTTAGATTTCCACGATTATGGAGTAATTGCAGTATTAATATGATAGAATTTCTCACAATGACTCCATCCTAGATGTCCTCTAATTGCTTTGCTTAAGGTTAAGAAGAATGAAATTGTCATCAGCACTTAAATCATTCAGTTAATGAGCAAAATATGTTGAGTGCATGATGCGTGTATACAGCGAACAGCGTAGGTGCAAGTGGGAAAAAGTATCATAGTCCTCAAGCCAGTGAGGACTAGGAGACGTAGTTCAAATCTTGGATTGTGCTTCTGTTTATTCTTTGGAATCCTACGGGTATATCATTGTAAGAAGAGAGCATTTGTTTTGAATCATCGGAACACTGGTGTTGATTCAACAGCTTGTAGCTGGTGGATCTAAAGAGTAAACACTTCGTCACTCAGAAGTCTTCCTGACTTGAGTGCTGTCCAGGGCCTGTTTGGCACCTGATCCGTTCTTCACCCTTTTCCCCTGCCACTCAGGGTTCATACAGGTTCCTGTGGCATTGGCTTCTGGCTAGGTGAAAAGATTGGCCCCTCAGAGTCACTGGTGAGAGGTTGGAGGTCGGGGAGAGGAGAGAATCCCAGGATATTTCTCCCCACTTTCTGCTTTGGGCAGCACCTGGTGTCTCTTTAGCTGCAGGTCCGAGGGGCTTCCAGCTTCCGCCAGGTGCCTCGGGCCCTGGGCTTAGGTCACGTGCCATCTCCTTTGCCGGTCCAGCCTGGGTAGCGGGAAGGACAGTCTCTTCTTCTTCTAATCCCTAGGTTACCTCAGAGTCTCTCACGTGGCTTCTCGGCTCCTCTATCGCTTGAACTCTTGTGAAACACTTTGCTCAAATGTAAACACAGCAAGTGGTTTCTGCTGTTCTCCTGACAAATCTTGCCTTAATTTTTCTTATCAATAAAAGAAACTTTAATAACTAATCAGAGATAGTAAATTACAAAATTATTTTCTCAAAAATAGAAAGTTTTGCTACTTTAGCTTTTCTGAACATTTAAGTATAAACTTAACTGTGTATCTCAAAACATGCTTGGATGTCTCTCTCAATTTATAAATGAGTAGAAAGGGACACCATTCTAGGTTAAATTTTTTTTCTTTTTTTTTTTGAGGAAGATTGGCCCTGAACTAACATCTGTTGACAATCTTCCTCTTGTTCTTCTTTATCCCCAAAGCCCCAGTACATAGTTGTATATCATGGTTGTAGAGTTGTGGTTCTTCTATATGGGATGCTGCCTCAGCATGGCTTGATGAGTATTGAGTATGTCCGGGCCGAGGATCTGAACTGGCGAACCTCGGGCTGCCAAAGTGGAACACACGAACTTAACCACTACGCCACTGGGCCAGCCCCCTAGGTTAAATTTTTATACATCTGTTTTCCTCTGGACATGAATTATAAGCTCTCAGCATATCAATTTTTAAAAGTGAAACATTTTAGCTATAATCTCACATCATAGGTGCTTCTCTTATAGCTATTACGAGGATCAAATTAGGTGATGTATGTGAAGATCCTTTGAAAATTGCAAGGAGCACTTCAGACATAAGGTGGTGTTATTATTATTTCATTACCATTATGTCTTGAATATCTGTGAAGAAGCTTGAATGCTCTACTAAATCAATATTCAGGTTATTAGACAAATGTTATGGCGTCACGTGGTAACTGGGAGGCCCCGTCACTCACAGAAGCCCTTACAGAGCTGACCATCACGCAGGAGTGTCTTCTTCTCACGCAGCTGTGGTGACAGGAAGCCCTAACCTTCTTTAGTGCCTTGT